TGCCTGCTGGATGAATCATCTCAGACAGGTGGGACAAGCTGTGAGACACACCATGAGGATGGGTTTGCCATAGGTCTACCCGCGGTTTCATGTGCAAAGGTAAAGGTGTATGTCTGCGCCACCAGCCCGGTGTTTCCAGGGGGTGCCAAACCCTGCTACCTGTGCACAGGATGGACTGTCAGCCCACAGACAGAGAGAACTGGGGAATCTTCCTTCCTCAGTAACGCATACATTACTAATCCATGAATTTATCATGTATTTCTATTTCCATGTAAACAAACAAACAGGGTTTGGAGCAGGGAGGCGTTAATTTTGCTGCCTGGCACTGAAATGTCCCATTTCGCCAGCATTTTATACCCATTACACTACGGTGTGTGTTCACCAAGTTTTGCTTCCAGACACCTTCCTGAGCAAAGGCTCTGCGCTTGCCTTCTCCTGGCCTGCGCCATGGGAAGGCTGAACCACACTTCACACTGTTTTTTCCTCAAGACCCTGGGAGGACGAGCTGATGCACAGTTTTGTGGGACAGAGATAGTAATAAGGACAAGACATACATGGTCAAGACCCATCCCTAAAGGGCTTGGTGGTCTACTAATTTCATGCCTTCAAGGCAAGGAGAAATTCCTTGGGCCCTGGTTGCTCAGGGACGCTTCTTTCTGGTCATGTTGGACACTGAAGGCAGAGGTGGATTGACACACGGAGGTGTCTGGCTGATCCTCACGGATTTATGAATTTCAGGGATTTGTTTTATCACCCTGAGTTCCCTGCTGTGATCTAGTCCTACTCAACACATGGCCCTGCCTTATGTGACCAATCCTGCTTGTCCTAGGACCGACTGGGGAGTTTCTTGTGTCTGCTTCTGTTGGGGATGGTGAAATGAAGGATTTTCTGGTCCACAAGTGGGATAGACTTCCAGACTGAAGTGAGACCTTGCCCCAGCTCTTCCCCATCCCAGCAGAGCTTCAGAAATGTCTCTGGGAAATCTGGGATGCCCAGGGATAATTGGTGGTCTCAAGTGTGGGCTTTCCACCTTCCCCTCTCAACACACTCTGCTCCAGCTGCTTCTCCTGGCCCTGTGATCTGCTGCTGCACCTTCTCCTTTCCATCTACCCAGCCCCAGGCTACACCACCTCCAGAAAATTGCCAGAGCTTCCCTCTTTCCTCAGAAGACCTCTGTCACCTGCAGACATGGAGTGAGGCCGGACGATGCTCAGTAACTCTCCCAGCTCCTCTCCTGGGAGAGTTACTGTGCCTTCCTGGCACCGGACCTCCCACAGCTTTTCTGGCTCCAGCAGTGGAAATAGAATGAGATGGAAGTGAGGATGTCACAGGACCATCAGGGAGAAGAGGAGGGAACTGGTCTTAAACACCACCCCCTCTTGCCAGGCACTAATACTCTGATCCTGTGTCCCAGGAGATAAGGGCTGAGTTGTGAGATCTCAACCTCCCATGATGGCAGGTAGCCCAGCTCCTTGTCCTGCCCCTGCTGCTCCCCTTCCCTTATTTCCTCCATATTAGGGGACGGATGAATTTTCTCCAAGTGCTGCAGCAGAAGGTTCAGCCTGGTTGCTGGTGGGACAGCTCTCTCTTACAAGGGTGCTGGAGAGGAAAGCTCAGCAAATGTCTGGTTTGTTCCTACCTCTTTCATGAAGACATTTCCAATGACTTTGCAATGAATCACTGTAATTCTCTGCCTCAACTCCCACCCTGCAAACAGAGGAATTTATACTGTTTTTTGCCTTTTTTGCCTGTTGGACAATGTCTCTGCTCGGCAATATTGAAATCGAATCAGAAACCAACAGGGACTGATGGGACCTGCTGAGCAGGAAAGCAAGTGTTCTCTCTGGCACGAGCCTGCACTCGGTCGTGTGTGAGCAATCCTTGTCCCTGGGCAGCATTAGGGTCCTGGGATTTGGGACAGGCAAGGAGCACATCCCAGCTGCAACGCCCCTGGCTGGCTCTGGCAGCTCCCTGCAGCAATGGAGCGGTGGGCTGACCGCGTGGGTCATCCTGCAAGTAGAAATGTGTACGCATTGCATGGCAGCAAAACCCCCAAGATCTTTTAAAACTCTTAAACACCAACCATCTGCAGCTGCAGATCTGAGAAAGTTCCCGTATTTATTGTTTTAACATCTTCTTTTGAGGCTCCTGGAGGGAATATATTTCATCATTTGCATATAGTAAATCTTTACCATCTGGCTTTTTCCTCAAGGCAAACATTTCCTGAACATTTCCACCCTGGCTGACAGTTTCTCTGTCCATACAGTGACTGAGTAATTTCTTATTTCTCTTTCTTCAGTGATTGCTTAGAAAGCCTCTCTCTTAAAGACCTTTCTCCTGGTCATGGATTTTTCTGTGTTTTGGGACATGTATAATTTCCCACTCTTCCTACATTAGTATTCATACTAATCCCTATCAGCTTCCCCTTTCTTCCAGTTTTCCTATTTTTTACAGCTGATTTACTGTCCTGTATAAATCAAAGAAAGCAAAGTGTATGTGTCTGTGTCTGTCTGTCAGCTCCCACGTAAGCTCTTAATTTTCTGCTTATTTTCTATGAAGTCTGACAGAGCCAGAATGATCATGGGGATGTCAAGAACCTCCAGGTTTAATGAGAACAGTCAGGTGTCTGGAGAAGGGAGATCCTGCCCGTGACAGGCAGGAGGGAAGGGTCTGGAGGGGCAGCTCAACCCACTGCTTGGCATCGGGAGCTACGTGGGATGCAGAGCAGGGGAGGACAGACATCGATGCTCCCATCATGCAGGGAGTGATGTGCTCACCTGCACAGCCTTGAATGTGGCTCTTGGGAAGATGCAGAGCCTTGAGCCATAAACAATTTTATAATAAGTCACCCCATTTATTAAAACTTCTGGTTTTGGTTTCTTGAAAAAAGATCTCATTTGGGGGCAGATTTTCGATTATTACAAGTTACCAAAAAATTTGGTGGTGCAAAGGGAGCAGTGCTGACTTTTGGCAGTAGGAAGGGCCAGTAAAATTTAAAGCATTAATTATGTTTATCTAGCTTGCACTGAAGAGGTCAGAGAAACTTGAACAGTAATTCCTGCATTTAGTCCAACATAAGACATTCTTCTCAGCTTATACCTAGGAAAACATTTATGATGTTTTCTGAAAACTTTGAGATACAAGATATAGAAACATGCACCCAATGGGGAGCTAGACATGGCAGAGCCCAAGCAGAAAACATGCATCTGATCACACGTAGGTCGAACCAAACCCATGAATAAAGCTCTGATGGTAATGGGATAACACAAGATTGCATCAGCCCAAATTCTGGTCTATGGTTCCTACTAATTTCTCCTTTTTCATTAGTGATGCAATTTAGTCTGAGGAAACATCTAGCAGGAAATCTGATCAGCAGTGATGTTGGGCTGAGTTTAAATCTGTAGGAAACCAGGTTATTTCACATGCATACACTCTGCTGCTTCAGTCCAGACCATTTCTCCATGCTTTCCTTTCAAAGGAACAGCATCCCTGTCAGCTCACTTGCCTAGTCCTGAGGAGTACCTGGGACGCCTTTTCTCAAATGAGTTTGTTTTTCGTAGTGTAGACGATGGGGTTTAGCATGGGTGGCAGGAGCACATAGAGATTGGCCAACAGGATGTGGACATGGTGGGGGATGAGTGAAAAATGAGAAAAACGCTGGTGTGTAGAACATTAATATAATGCAGGCATGAGAGCTGCAGGTTCCAACTGCCTTGAGCTGGGCATCCTTGGATAAGAGCCTGAAAACAGCCCAGAGAATGAGGATGTACGATACCCCAATAAGCACAATGTCCAATCCTGGGGACAGAAGGGTGGCAGCAAAGCCATACCAGATGTTAATGGAGATGTCGGCAGAGGCCAGCCGGGTGATGCCCATGTGCTCACAGTAGGTGTGCGGCGTGACGTTGTGTCTGCAGTATGGCAGCCTCTGAAGGAGAAATGCTGTTGCGAACATCACACAAAAGCTCCTGGCTATGGCAGACAGCCCTGTCTTGGCTATCACCGAGCGTGTGAACACTGTGGCATGTCGCAGGGGGTTGCAGATGGCCATGTACCGGTC